AAGGCGCGTACATATAAGCCAGCTCCATCGCAACGCATGTGCTGGGGCCGACAGGGCAACGTGAACTCAGCATGGTTCGAAAACGGATACTGGTGCTTGTCAGCTTCTGGCAAATCGAGCAACCAATTCCACTCTAGCTCGGGTGTGTGGTATAGCTCCTGCACTGTCCAGGGGGGAGTGCAGTCATACACGAAGTCACGAAAAGACTTGGCCAGATCATCGGCCATCTCGTTCCAACAATGCTTGTTATGTCCGTATACATGCAGAATATGAACTGGCACACGGGCGGAAGCAATCCTATATATATGTCGCGCCAGCGCTCCCAGCTCGGGTTCAGCGTGCGGATACTGCTTGCCGAGCGTTATGGCTATGGCCACTTCGCAATCAGAAAATATCGTGACGGGGTAAAGCTCACACTGCTCGCGCTGCTGCATGGCATAGCTAATCACCCAAATCAACGACCATAGCAAGGCCACCGCCTCGGCGGTGATCGAACTGACATCTTTTTCGAGCTGCATTCCAATCGTGGCGAAGACAGTTCCGGCCAAAAAACCCAAAAACCGAACGTCTCCTTCTTCGTCCAAGCAAGTTGCTACCATTGCCCAACCGCTAAGTCCTCGCTCTGCCGTTAGAGAGCCGTCTGGAAACAAAGCAATGGGACCCAGCGGCACCTCGCTAGGCGCAGCCGCTCCCAGCGCGAACTCCGCCTCCGCCTTGAGCTGGACTTCCCCTACCTCCCTCAAAAGGCAAAGAGGCGGCATTTCACTAATGCATCGAACGATCCGATCGGCGCCCGAGAAGTCGCATTTGGCATAGCCGTCGACGCCCACCAGCAACGCCTCTAAACTTATGACTGTTTTTGGTGTAGTGCAGGCCTGATCCGATCCCCCACCCTCAGACAAACCATTACACTCATCAACAACAAACGAGCGAACCTCGGTCTCTCCCCAAGAAACTCGAGTCCTGCTTCGCTCGGCGGAAGCGGCGGCCGCGCTGGGCATGATGCAAGTCCCTGGCGGCTCGCAAACGTCTTGAAAACTCGGACTGCCAACGCTGACCGTGGACAAGCATAGGTCCCAGCCTGTCACGGAGCTCGCGTCCGAATCGGCGTTGTCTCCCCCCCCCCCGCCCAAGCTCACCCACGCAGTCCCACCCACCCATATCGCTATCGGCAGATGCGTCAGACGCGCACGGCGAGCATATGATCCAACCTTGCTGCTCCGCAGCTGGGCCCCCAGCACGCAGCTGCACGAAGCTCGTGTCGGATGCATCTGCATAGAGGCCGTCATCCGTATCAGATTCATGCACGCCTGCAGCCCCGGCGTGCCCAGCCATGTATCCAAATGACATGCTGGAGTCGAGTGAAACGCTATCGTCCGTCATCTGAGCGCCTGCTGCCTCAGCAACAGGCGGCGTCTGTTCTGCCGAGCTGTCTGCTCCAGCTGACGGTTGAAAGTCGTGCGCATCGTTAAAGGCATGCTGCAGTTGCCTGGGCGTGAGCGGATCCTCATAATGCAAAAAGGACTCCCAAAACAGATTCGCTCGCGTCCTGGCTGCATCCCTCTCGGCAGCGGTTAAAAGCGACACGCCCGACGCCTCGGCTTGCCACTGATCCCGCGTCAGCTGCAGCGCGGCAAGGGCATGTGCAATATGCTCGTGCCACTCATCAGCGTGCGCGCTATCTACTGGCCTACGCCGCAGACGGTTCAACCTGTTAGTGTACGCATCACGATCATGCTGTGCCAACGCCCAAGCACGGTCACATATATCGCGAGCTGCTAGCGCACATGCCTGTGCTGTCATGGCAAGCGGCGCAAAGATGGCACTGGTACGAGTTTGCCATGAGACCCAGGCAACGCACTCCTCCATCCAACTATCGAACGCTGCGCCAATGCCCTGCAAGTGGGCCATGGTCGACCACGGTCGGCTCTGGCCTGCAAGTGATCTGGCTAGCACGCTGGCCGCGTGCTCGGCTGCACCCATACCCAGGTGCGCTCTACAAAATTTACATGTTGCAAAAAAGGTCGGGAGGATATTCCCGCAGCAAGCCAGGCGGAGAGGAGCCAGCTGTGGCTCCTCCTCATTGCCTGCCAACAGGGGCGCCACGGGCACGCCTGCCCAGTCAGTAGTGAACGATACCCTCGAGGCTGTCGACGGTGCTGCAACTTCCCTGCGTGCATCGTCATCTGGCCCGAGTCTGATCGAACTCACGCGCCTCCGTCTGATGGAGTCGCTGCTGCCGCCGCGGCTGCGGTGCGCGCCTCGGGCACCGAGGCCGCCCCTGCTCTCTTCTCCTTCCTCGGCGGAGAAGCCGTCGTTTTGTCCACCTCGATCATCGTCTTGTCCGCCTTCCCGTCGATCCTGCGCACCTCCGCCTGGACTGGCGACTCGCACTCGTGCGTGGCGCTCTCCGTCGGCGCTGGCAAGTAGGGATCGTCGAGCTGAGACGCCGTGGTCATTGGGGCCCACGGCTGCGTCGGCTGTGAGCATTGCGGTCTGTGTATCACTGGTGTCGGCTGGCTGCTCTTCCCCTCGGCGTCGCCTGGCTCCACTGGCGATGTGGGCGAGCAGCTCATCCTTCCACTCTTGGACGGCGCCTTCGGTGACGCCATTGCTGGCTTGGGCTGGCCCATGGGCGTCCCTGGCGCGGCAGTCGCACCTGCTGGCGTAGGCGGCGACCGCTGCGCTGGCGGCGGCGTCGTCTGTACGGGCGTAGGCATCCCCCCAATCGGTGTCCTCGGTACCGCTGCCGCTGGCGTTGCTGGCGATCTCTGCGCAGGCGGCGGTGTTGATTCCACTTCCATGGGCTCCGTCTCTGCGGCTGCGGCTTGCACTGGCGGCTGCGGCGGGAACGCGGGCGGCGGCATATGCGGCGCCGCTGCCGCGGCCCCTGGCATGGCCTGGGGCGCCGTCCCACCGCTGGCGCCAGGCGCTGCCACACCCGGCGCCGCCGCGGTAAACCCCATCGCCGACATGACCATGCCCATCTGCCTGTCCTGCTGCTCCATGCGCATCATCATCTGCTGCATCATCACTTCGATTGGAGACAACTGCTGCGGCGGCTGGAATCCTGGAGGCGGTGGCGGTGGGATGTGCGACGGCGCTGCACCTGGCGCCATACCCGCTGGCGCACCAAAGCGCCCAGGCGGCTGCTGCGGCCCTTGCCCATGCTGGGCGGCCGCGGCGGCCTGCATCTCCACCTCTTCTTCCTGCCGCTGCACCTCCAACTCTGCCAGGTAGTCGTCCAGCTTGTTCACTTCGCCGCACAGCTCCTCTTCCTGCGTCTGATATGTGGCGATGCGGGCTCGGGTATTGCTTAACTTGTCCATCGTGGCCTTCTTCTTGGCTCTCATGGCTTCGATCTGCTGCCATGTCGCGCTCCTATCCTCCTCATCCTGCTCCTCCTCCTCCTCCTCCTCCTCCTCCTCCTCCTCCTCCTCCTCCTCCTCCTGCTCCTCCTCCTCCTGCCTCTCCTCCTCCTCCTCCTCCTCCGCCCCGCCGCTCCTCCTCCTCCTCCTCCTCCTCCTCCGCCGCCGCGCCGCCGCGCCCCCGCCGCCGCCGCCGCCGCTGCCGTCCCCGCCCCGCCGCCGCCGCCTCCTCCTCCTGCTCCGCTTCTTCCTCCTCCTCCTCCCCCTCCCCTCCTCCTCCTCCTCCTCCTCCTCCTCCTCCTCCTCCTCCTCCTCCTCCTCCTTTCCAGTGTCTCCCAGACTCTTCAGTTGGCTCCCTCCTCTCCTCCGCCTGCAGCTTGGGCTCGCGCGCAGGAGCGAGCCGCGAGTGGGAAAACGACAGGAGTGGGAGGCAGGGGACCAACCCCTCCTCCTCCTCCTCCTCCTCCTCCTCCTCCTCCTCCTCCTCCTCCTCCTCCTCCTCCTCCTCCTCGTCCTCGTCCTCGTCCTCCTCCTCCTCCTCCTCCTCCTCCTCCTCCTCCTCCTCCTCCTCCTCCTCCTCCTCCTCCTCCTCCCCCTCCACGGCGACGGCAAACCACCGAAAAAATCGGCCGAGCCGACCGCGAGGCCGACGCCGCAACCGGGAGCGATGGAGTGACAGTCCGCTCACATATTCAAAAAAGCAGGGCTCACAAATTCAGCAATCCAGCCATGCGACAACTCATGACTTCAAACCTTGAGGTCCTGAATTCCTGAATCGGATTCTTGATTTGTTCCGGGGATTTCCGGGAAAATGTGGGCTGCAAAAATTCAACCGCCTGAATACCCGATATATCCCCACAAGTCCGTAAGTAAGCGAGTAGTCCGGGAAGTTCCGGGCTTCAGACATCAAAGTTCCGAATTCCTGAATTTCTCAATGTGACTTCTGAATGCATGAATGTATGAATATGTTGGTTTCTGTTTCTGGGCATGCGTTGAAGAGGTGGCCCATTTTTCAGGGGGAGCAGGCCTTCAAGAAAGCGACGGGCCGCGAGCAGCCAGGAGGGGGTGCAGCGACGCTGCTACGACACGAGAAACGACCGAACCGAAGCGACCGAACGCAGCCGACTGCGAGGCGGCCGAGGCCGACCAAATCGCGAACAGGAGGAGGAGGAGGAGGAGGAGTAGGAGGAGAAGGAGGAGAAGGAGGAGGAGGAGGAAGAGGAGGAGAACGAGGAGGAGGAGGAGTCAAGGAGGAGGAGGACGAGGAGGACGAGGGGGAGGAGGAGGAGGAGGAGGAGGAGGAGGAGGAGGAGGAGGAGGAGGAGGAAGGAAAGGAGGAGGACGAGGACGAGGACGAGGAGGAGGAGGAGGAGGAGGAGGAGGAGGGGGAGGAGGAGGAGGAGGAGGAGAAGGGGGGGAGAGGAGGAGGAGGAGGAGGAGGAGGAGGAGGGGGAGGAGGGAGGAGGAGGAGGAGGAAGCGGAGGAGGAAGAGGAGGAGGAGGAGGATGGGGAGTCAAGGATGAGGAGGAGGAGGAGGTGAAGGAGGAGGAGGAGGAAGGGGGGGAAGGGGAAGGGGCCTCCTGTAAACGGGGGCCCTCCTCCGGTCACGCGCGGCGAGCTCGCACATGGTGCCTTCACCCCGATGAGCTGGACGCCCTGCTCCGCGGCCGTGCACCACCAAGATCTGGCGGCGACACACGCCGCTCGCTCGATATCCTCCTTTTCATCATCATCATCATCATCATCATCATCATCATCATCATCATCATCATCATCATCATCATCATCATCATCATCATCATCATCATCATCATCATCATCATCATCATCATCATCATCATTATCATTCCCACCTGCTTCTCCTCCTCCTCCTTCTCCTCTTACTCCTCCTCGTTTCCTTATCATGTTCATCACCCTCCTCTTCCTTCTCCTCCTCATGTTCGCACGTGTTTTTTTTTTTCTGATTCCTCAACAACACGTACTGATACATACATGCGTATACGAACTCAACAAGTCCACTCTGCCACCGGCATTGGTATCTTCATCGGCAAGGCGGGACCCTTCGTCGGCCGGATGGGACCCTTCCCCGGCTGATCTGTTCACTGGCTGATAGGGTGTTTCACCGTTTACGTCTTTCAAATGAAAGGTGATTGCACCTGTTGCATGTGGGTCTTCAGGAGTGAACATACAGTTCTGGGGTCGCCTGTAGTTTTTGGATGTCCTTTGATGTTTGATGCTTTGCGGGTGGTGGTGGATGGAATGGGGATGGGAAACACATCTACAAACATTGGTCGAGTTGGTGAGCTTCAAGTCGATTTAGTCAAACGCTGGATTCGCAAAGAAAGCCAACATCACATGGAGAGAACATGTATTTCAAAGCCACTGGCACCACCGAACAAAAACGATGGACAAGGATCTAGGGATGATCAAGTGCCACTTCCATGAGAAACACGGGCACGCATTCAAGGACATCGTGAAAAAATTGCATGCGTGGGTCGTCGAGCTCAAGGGGCACGCCCAAGCACGCCCGGGTCTGTCTCTCTGTCTCTCTCTCTCTCTCTCTCTCTCTCTCTCTCTTTTTCCCCTCTATGCCTCTATCTCTCCCTTCTGTTATGCATGTGCGTATACACTTTGTATATATATATATATATATATATAGATATAGATATATATATATATATATATATATATATATATACAGCCCGCCTCGAGGATTCCGAGCGCCAGAGCTGGGCCAGAACAAAGACCTTCCGAGCCTCTTACAGGGCCTGAGGACTGATGGGGCTCTGTCACTTTTTTGTACTGTATGTGTCGAGCGCGAGCCAGGCTAGGGCAGTAAAAGACTGCCACGAGATAATTTCCCGGCGAGCAGCTGGGCGACGGAGCAGACTGCACAGAGGTCCGACCAGAAGGGGACTTCCCCGAGAAGAGCAGCAAGTTAGATATACGGGCGAAGAAAAAAGCCAGGGCGGCACGTGGGTGGGTGCACTTTGAGCCCGATGCCAGCGGGGCAGGCAACAGATGAGTGCGGCGCTCTCTCTCCACCAGGCTCCGCTTCACGTTTCAAAACTGGACAGCCCGCCTCGAGGATTCCGAGCGCCAGAGCTGGACCAGAACAAAGACCTTCCGAGCCTCTTACAGGGCCTGAGGACTGATGGGGCTCTGTCACTTTTTTGTACTGTATGTGTCGAGCGCGAGCCAGGCTAGGGCAGTAATAGACTGCCACGAGATAGTTTCCCGGCGAGCAGCTGGGCGACGGAGCAGACTGCACAGAGGTCCGACCAGAAGGGGACTTCCCGAACCCCAAAGGAAGATCTGGCCGCAACTGACAGAGTGGCAGAGGCGGCCGAAAAGTAAAAAGGCACTTCGATGCTGAGGCGAGAAGTCTCGGAAACACGTTACTTGCTGACCAGACTAGCCATTGCTTGCTGTGGCGCCTTGAGCACTGCGCGCTTGATTACATTAGCGAGAGCATTGGCAAGGGCAGCTGGATATGCAGCTGCGAGGGCTGTGTACTTACAACCCGCAGGGCTTTGGCCAAACAGAATTACATGCTTGTTGGCCGTGCGTGAGCACAGCCCGCGTCTCCCTTGGCACACGCGGCATAAAGATTCTATAGGGCCAGCGTGCCCGGAGACGATCCTCGTGCGCTTTCGCCAAAGAGAACCATACTGGCACTGGTCAAGATCACAAATACGCGCACAAGTTAAGTGAACGAGCCGAGACAGCGAACGCACATACCGCATCAAAGAGCCTGCTGGATTCTCCAGCATCACAGGAATCCCAAGACGAGTGCACAGTCTGATGATGCGGCACGTGAAAGCAAAGGAAGCGCTGCCCTGCTGCAAGCGGGCTCTCTCGGAGGTGCTCAACTGATGGAGGCCCATGGGGCGGTCGCGAGATCTCACGGGTCTCCTGAGGGCCCGCGACCAGGTGGTGCAGGGCGTCCCTAGAAAGACAGCGGCGACTGAGTGGCTACAAAGCCATGCGACGATGACCTCCTCAAAGGTGGCATCGAGGTGGTCCTCGAGAGGCCCCTGCCTCATGTCGAGCCCCAGACCCGAAAGGCCGAGTCGGCGCACGGCGGCGGTGAAGTGGCCCGAACCGCTGAACAGCTCTAACACAACGCGCCTGCGACAAAGCGAGCCCCGCTGCACTGCCTCCTTGAACCGCCGCCTCAGGTGCTGTCGGACGGCATCGCCCGTAGCACTCACTGCGCCGCAGCCGCGGGCCTCCTCCGAGCCCTCCGGCCGCGCGCTGGGGCGCCCAGCTGCATCGCCCCCGCAAGCCGGGAGGGCACCTGGGCGAGGCATCCGCTCTTGATGAAGCCCATCTCCAGCAGCTCGCAAAATCGCCCTTCCACGAGGTGGCCGAGCGCGTGCACGTCCTCCGCCACGCCCTGAAGCTCGCGTAGAAGAGCCGTCTCCTTCGCGTAGCGCCGCATCGACGACATGACGGCTCAGCGGCCCCTGCGGAACACCTGTTCCATCGATCGCCTCTGCGTCAAGAGGTCGTCGCTCACTCCGCCATGCCTCATCCCGTACAAGTGGGGGCGCAGGTGGTTGATGCCCAGGGCCGTTGCAGCAAGAGTGAACATCTGGTTCAGCTGGCCCAGACTGAAACCCCACAGAGGCGTCGCGGCAGGCCCCGTCAGGCGGAGAGCCATGAGGACTGGCACGTGGTACAAGTCGAGATCGAAGAGGTTCGACTCGTCGAACGATCCCGTCTTCCCGCCCTGGCCGCGGTCTGCGGGGCGCAGCAGGAGGCCCCAGAACTGATGCGCGGCGCCCGCGCCTATCGACGGCTGCGCGATGCTGTCGGTCGTCAGCCTCTGTGCCTCGGCAGGTCGGAGGTATGCCGAGAAGCTGATGGCCAACCAAGCTGCCATCTGAGGTTGCTGCCAGGCGATCAGCATCCCACACAGGGCAAACATCACAGCCCGTGGGATCGGGAGCCTGGTCAAAGCGGGCGCGCGCCGCTTCCAAGCCTGCATAGCACGAGAGGCCCTCGGCAGCTTGGTGCCCATCTGTCTCGGGAGCCCTGGGGTAAAATGCGAGATGGCTGCTATCGTCTGGGAACCGACGTTCGCAGCGGCTCCCTCCAGGTAGCGCGTGGTGAAGTACTCCGCCAGGATCGAGTCCAGCTGGCCCAAAGTGCTCCAGTCCAGGTGGTGGTCCGCACAGTAGCTCACGAAACTGTGTAGTAACTGCCGGTAGAAGGCCTCTGCGTTCGGTCTCACCGCCAGCTGCTCCAAAAGGCTCATGGCCAAAGTACTGGTGCGCCCGCCCGCGGCCTTGGCAGCCAGGCGGGCGCGGTGTCTCGTCAAGGCCGAAGGGGTGCGCGATCCCCGTCGCGGCATCGCCTCCGCCCTCGTGATCAGCCAGGGCAGGGCGAAGAGGGCGACGCAGCCGCCGGCCACGCGTCCGAGCATCACTCAGATAACGGTGCCCGCTGAACCAGCCCAGCTTCCCACGGCTGAGCGAGTCTGATGGGTTCCTTTCTGAGGCGATCCAGCGTACACAAAGCCTCGAGCCTGTGGCTAACGACAGACAGCACAACTGGTTGAGACATGACCTCAAGAAACTCGAGCGGGCCCTCCCCTTTGCACAAGAAAGCGCCAAAAGCAAATTGTCGACTAGGGCTACCATGCGCTTGCCGTGACTGCCCAAGTTACGAAGAAGGTGCCGATACGACGTGACTAAGGCCTCGCCCTCCAGGTAAAGAATATTGGCTCCCAGAGACACCGACTGTGCACTGACACTTTTCCAGGCTTCTTTGCGTGTAATGTGCCCAGGTACCTCGTCGAGCTCCCAAGGGTCCGCGCTGAACCTCAGGGCCTTGGTCATGTTGTGTTCCGCCGGGACGCCCCAGTCCATGCCGTAGACGCCCAAGGTGTTGGCCTCCTGGATGCCCTCTGGATTCTTCAACGCGCGACTCCCCAAGCTGCCCAGGTGCTCCACAGAGTAGCCCCAGTTATCGTCGGACCTTGGCACGAGAGATGGAGAGAGAGAGAGGGCGGACTTTGTCTATTTTCGCCTGGCCCCTCGTCGGCCACCAGTTCTCCTGCCTTGAGCGACCGAACGCGAGCCTGGTGCCCGCCCTCGACCTTGTAGCGCCACAGCTCCGAGCACCGCCCAACGGCAGCACAAGTAGCATCAGGCGCCCGACGTCGCATGACGCCGAGGCCAAAAGGAGAGGCGTCGCTGGCCGCCATCACGGTGCGCCACTCTGCGGACAGGTCGCAAGTCAAAATCGGGAGCAAATCTCTAATGATAATGAGCTCCTTGATCACTGATGGCCAAAGCTTGCCGTGCCTCGGGCCGAAGGCACCGACATAGCCATGGGAGCTGTGAAGCACGGTGAGCACCTCTCTGCGGATCATAGACGCCCACGTGATGTGACCAAGCACCGCCCGAAGCATGTGGCCTGAGCACCATCCACGCCTCAACAAGCTGGAGATCGCGAAATGAAGTCTCCAGATGTTACGAGGCTTGATGCGAAGAAATCTTCCACCGCGGAGGCTGAGGCCGAGGAAGTCGGCATCTAAAGCAGCGGGCTCGATCTCGTGAACGGGGAGGCCGCGACTCCTGAAGGTGCTCACCAGCCTTGCCATAGTCTGATCCACCAAGGACTTGCTGCCGCCGAAGACGAGGATGTTATCGACGTAGGCGGCAACCCCCACGGCACTCTTCTTGACAACGTTAACCCCAGGCTGACCATCCTGAGCGGTCTGATCCAGAGAGTGGCCGTCGTCCGAAAGCACAGTGCGAGCAGCAGCCTGACAAAGATGCAGCGCCCACGAAAAGCCCATTGGAAACACAAGGACCTGGGGCGAGAGCGACACCCACGGGTCGAAATCGAGGTCGATGAGGCCGAGCTCCTGAAGCACCCCCGCCTTGATCGGCGGCAGGGTGAACATCTCTTCCATGCCCGCTGGGGGCCTCATGTGGTAGAAAGCACACTCCAGGTCGCAGGTCGACATGTACATGCCTTCGATCGGCGCCTCGATCGAACTGAAAGCCGAGGCCGAAGGTAGCCGAGTGCTGGGCGCATCTAAAAACTTGCAGTTGGCGGCCCTCGTATCGAAGATGATGCGGAGGGCCACCGTCTTCTCGGGAACGAAGAAGAGGCCGACGGTGTGCGGCTGGCCGGAGTCCGCCGTGCAATTGACCATCTGCCTCTCGAACATCTGGATCAAAAAAACGACCGTACGTGCTCACGTCGCGCGTCAGGGCGGGATCGCAAAAAGGCCCCTTCGGGCATGCCTCCCTAGCCAGAGCAGCAGCAGCACGCGGATCTCGAAGCATATGACTCCGCCAAACCCCCAGCCAGACCTTATCCACAGGCGGCACCAGCTCGATGATGTCAACTGGAGCCCCACCTGCGGCGGGCCAAGCGACTTTGTCGCTGACGTAGGGGGCCGACGTCGCGGCGCCAGACCCGTGCAGGTTGGCGCAGGAGAGGGGCTCCCTGAGGGCTCCGTCTTCGGCAGCGTTACCAGACATGAACTCTGACGGCGGGCGCCCAAGCTCGTCGATGCTGTCCGAGATGTGCATGATGGCCTGGCGCCGCCCCTCGTGAGCCACAGCAGGAGGCGAGGACCGAGAACCATAAAGTGAATTAAGTGCGTTGGCGGCCGAGCGAACCCTATCCTCACGATGAAGGCGATACCCAGCACGCCTAGCCGAGCGGCGACTTCCTGGCGCTGAGGGTGGGCGAGCAGCACCAGCGGGGATCGGCGGCGGGAAGACGTCACGGTGACGGGGTCCTCCACGCGCGCCAGGGCCTGCGGCCGAAGCCGCACTCCTGTCCCAGGGAGAGGCCGGCCCAAATGCCCCCCCCTGGTGCTTCTCAGCCATTGCTGTCTGGGGCTGTGCGGCCGCCCCTCCCGCCGTCTCTACTGCGTCCGCGGCCGCGGCCGCGCCCTCGGCCTCGGCCATCGCTGCCGCCACCGCCGCCAGAGCTGCCGCCCGCTGCGAGGAGCCGCTCCTCGCGCGCCTTGCGCCGCTCCTTGGCTATGTTGGCCTCGCGTGCCTTCTCCGCGGCCAGCCAGTCCCGCAGAGCCGGCGCCGCGCACACGTTCCCGCCTGCGTCCAGAGCACCCGACATCAGAACTGCGTCTGAGCCGAACTCCGAGGCAGCGGCGAACCTGTCTCGGTACAGCTCCTCCTGGGTCTGGAGAGTCCGACCGACCAACTCCATGGCAGCGATGTTAGTCACGTGGAGCTGATCGTAGACCACACCCAGCTCGAGGAGGCGGCAGCACAGCAAGTGGGCATCGACCCCAGGATCGTCCGCCTCAAGGTACCCCTCCGAGACCCACTTCGCGTGCCTGCCGAGGGGAGTACCCCCATTGCGGCAGATGAAGTTCAGCACCCATAACAGCGTGCGGGGCCCCTTGAGGGGCCAGTCGCCCCAAGGTAGCTGCAGCGCGAAAGTCCACGTACCTCACCCCCTGCGTGTCGAAAGCCACCGACTGAATCCGAGCGTCGCCTCCAGGAGCGCCTGCGATGGCAGCCAACGCTGCGGCCACTCCACCAGGACCAAGGCCACCACCCACAGCGGGCGCAGGGGCGGCGGCGGGCCCAGGCGCAGGCACGGCCACGGCGGCGCCGCCGAGAGCGCCTGGAGCGGCTGGGGGCGCCCCTCCTCCGCCAAAAGGCGCGCCAACTGGAGCACCTCCAGCCGCAGGTGCTGGCGCTGCCGCCACTGGTACAAGGGCGGCTGCGCCCGCTGGCGCGGCCGCTGGGCCGCCCCCAAGGGCTGCGGCTAGCCCTGCCAGACCACCCAGAGCCCCAGGAGCGCCGCCGGCCTCGCCAGCAGCGGGGGCCCCCGCGGGCCCAGCGCCAGCCCGAACGCCGACCACAGCCGCGATGACACGCCCTGCCGTGTTCAGCGCGATCGGCGGCCCCGCGCCCAGCCCAAGAGTGCCTCGAACAGAGGCGGCACCTGTCGCGACGTCACCAGGAAGAGCGAGACCACGGAAGCGGTAGACCTGGTCACCAGCTGAGGTGGCCGCCACGGCGCCAGCTGAGGCGCCGGCGGGGACCGCGTACTCCCTGATGTCCGCGCCGTTCTGCATGATGGCCTCCACGTACGCGTGACCATCTGGAGTCATGATCCCTGTCCCGA